GCTCTGCGTCAAGAGATTCCAGTGCTTCTCTATCTTCTTCGGGTATGGATGGTAGAGTAAGCGCTGATCCTGTGAGGTATAAGTAGGGCTGATTTAGATGGACTTTGAAAGGATGCGATGTGGCAGCACAGCTGGTTATTATGGCGTTGGGGTGTTGAACGTCCACTACACGAAAAATCCCCGTCCACGGTAGATGAAATTTGCGCGCTTCACCGTGTTTGATTGCATCACGTTTGAGAAGTACATAATCTCCAACCCGAATGGGCGATAGGCGCGCATTTCGGTCGTACACACGTTTCATGCGCTGTTGTGCTTGCTGATTAGATTCGTGCGCTAGTGACCAAGCGGTTTTCAGTGCATTCATTAGTTGCAGCTTGTACTGCTCCATGTCAATTTCACTATAAGATGTTAAATTTTCGGTCTTAATGATGTCTTCTATCGGAAATCTAGGATCCCTGCCATACATGAGAAAGAATGGTGATTCTTTGGTCATTTCGTGAACAGATGTGTTGTAACAAAAAGTGATAGCTGGCAAGAACTCATCAAAATCAGGGTTCTGGGCAGTAATATATTTAGATAACATATTCTGAAAAGTGCGAAAAGTACGCTCTACTGCACCATTTCCAGCTGAGTGAAAAGGCGTAGCATACCGCTTGTTAATGTACAACAATCGACAGAATTCCTGGAAAAAGTCTGCTGTGAAGGTTGTGGCATTGTCAGTAGTGAGTGTGTTTGGTGAACAGTACACAAGAACGCAGTGATTAAGTAACGCTCTTGCCAGCGTGGTTGCTCTTATATCTTCCACCGGTAAGGAAATGACATATTTTGTAAATAGACAGATAATATTCAATATGTATCTATTGCCTCGTTGTGTAAGAGGGAACGGACCGCATAAATCGAGGCCTAAATGGTTCATAGGCGCGGCGCTGGTAACTGGATGGAGCGGCTCTCGAGGATAAGGGTGTGGGTTGTTGCGCATTTGGCATGTAGCGCAGGCGCGTGTCCACTTGTACAAATCACTGTACTTAGTATCCCAATAGTATTTAGCCGTTTTGTGAAGTACCTTACGGAAGTTGTGGTGACCCCCCGCAAGAGCTGAGAGATGGAAATGGTCAAATATTAATGGTCTTAGTGCGACTGGAATGACTAGCGGATATTCTTTTTCAAAACACCTTTTTGTTTTGAAAGTAGGCACGCGAAAGCGAAGATAACCGTTGTCATCCAAAACATATTTCTCAGCTTTTGAAATAAATATTGCCGCTTGCTGACTGTCTTTGAAGGCGGGCAGGTTCCCTGTTTTTAGAAAGGTGATGATAGGCTTAAGTTCCCTATCGTTTGATTGCTCCCTTTTTAAATCAATTGGGTGATGTGTGCCGACAATAGTTTGGAAAAGTGTATCTGCTCCTGGTTTGTTATTTCCGAGGGATGGAGCAACAGGAGGTAGACAGTGTGGGGACTCAGTAAAATCCAGGATGTCCTCGCGTGTGGCTGGTTCTTTGTCGTCATCCACTCGAGAAAGGGCATCGGCTACTTTGTTGTGATCGCCCTTGATGTATTCAAGCTTAATATTATAGCTCTGCAGTTCAAGTACCCATCGTGCAAGGTTAGGATGCGAGGAGGATTTCTTTAACACGTGCGTTAATGGTTTGTGATCGATGTGAACTATACATTCCGACATGAAAATGTATGGCTTGAATGTACGAAGTGCATAAACAATAGTTGCGAGCTCCGCTTGTATGATTGGCCATTTTCGTTCACTCTCTGTTAATGACCGACTACAAAACGATATGGATTGAAACTGAGTTGTGCTGCCAGCGATCAGTTGCATTAGCGCTCCTGCTTGAGCAACGGCTGAGCAATCCGTGAAAATGTGGAATGGTTTAATATAGTCTGGGTAACTTAAAATAGGTTCTTTCAATAATAGAGATTTGAGAGTGTCGAAGGCTTCTTGCTGCCTATGTCCCCACGTAAAATGGCGATTTTTATACATTTTTGCCGTGCAGCGCTAGACTGCTGTAACAGGCAGCAAAAACACATATTGCAACGACTCTGTCAGTGTGTGTGTCTGTTTGTGTGTGTGTGTGTGTTCGTCTGTCCGGGCGTTTCAACTCGCCAACCACACAAGCTTTGAAGCTGAAATTTTGCCATTGTGTTCCTCCAGCCAAGTGCACCGCAGGGCCGCGATATCAACTTTCACGCACGTCTAGGCGCCGCGTACGAGCACGTGAAAGTTTTGGCGCGAAAATTGCTAACTCGGGAACGAAAAAAGCTAGAAAGCTGAAACCTTGAGGGAATGTTCCGTACCCGTCTGTGACAAAAAGATTTCAAATTCAGCTGCCCAGGTGTACCCGGGGCTTACGTGCGGGCACGTGAAAGTCATGGCGGGAAAATTCATAACTCGAAGATGAGAAAACTGGAAAGTTGAAACTTTCTAGCTAGAAAGGGAATATTTCCTACTCATGCACGACCAAAAGTTTTCAAACTCAGCTCCATAAGACTGCCCGGGGCTCACGTACGGGCACATGAAAATTTTTGGCGCGAAATTTACTAGCCCGGGGACGGGAAAAGCTGGAAAGCTGAGACTTTAAGGGAGTGTCCCATACTCATGTACGAGCAAAATCAGGTGGTTAAAAGCGCCCGAGCCCACATACGAGCGCGTGGAAATTTTGGCGCGAAAATTACTAACCCTGGAATGGGGAAAGCTAGAAAGCTGAAACTTTAAGGGGACACCCCCTACTCATATACAAGCAAAATCAGGTGTTTAGAAGCGCCCGAGCCCACGTACGGGCACGTGGAAATTTTGGCGCGAAAATTACCAGTCTGGGAATGGGAAAAGCTAGGAAGCTGAAACTTTCCGAGAATGTTCCCTATCCATGTGCAATCAAAATCAGTTGTTTGGAGACTCTCGAGATCTACGTACGCTACATGTGAAAGTTTTGCTGCGAAAATTACTAACCCGGGAACGGGAAAAGCTAGAAAGCTGAAAATTTCGGGTAATGTTTCCTACTAATGTACGACCAAAATCAGGTGTTTAAAAGCAGCCGTGGCCTACGTTACGGGCACATGGAAATTTTGTCGCGAAAATCACTAAGCCGGGAACGAAAAAAGCAAGAAAGCTGAAACTTTAGGGTAATGTTCTGATCAAAAGATTTTAAATTCAGCCCCTTAAAACCGTCCGGCACTCACGTACGGACACATGGAAGTTTTGATGGGAAAACTGTTTACTCGGGAACGGCAAAAGCTGAAGGCTTTAATTCTAAGGGAATGTTCCCTATTCATGTACAACTGAAAGATTTTAAATTTAACTCTTTTTGCGAACGAGCGACTTTCCATTTGTCAGGTTATTGAAGTCGGCATCTACAATTGATATACCACATAGTTGCGCAATTAAATTCCCGAACTTTGAAGGCCAGTATGTCACACGGTTATCTACTGTATTTCCTTGCGATCTTGCTACGGCACGAAAAGTGCAAAAACGCATAATCTCAAACACCGGCCCACCTGCTGCGTTCCAGCATGGGTTGCGTGTTAATTCTGTGAGCGGTGATGCGATTTTAGCAAAAGCTGGAATGAACTTCCGGTAAAAGCTAGCAAGACCACAAAATCGACGCACCTGCTGAACTGACCGAGGGGGAGGAAACTTCGCAATAGCTTCTAAATTAGCTGGCGATGGCCTGTAGCCTCCTTGCTGGATTGTATGGCCAAGGAATTCAATTGAACGGCGGGCAAATTGGCATTTCTTAGGAGATAGCTTGAGGTTGAAGTCTTGAAGGCGTTAGAATACCCGTTCCAGGAGTTGAAGATGGTCGCGGAAGCGAGGAGATTTAGTGTAAACGAGGAGATCGTCAACATAGAAACAAACTCCTTCATCCGTACCCGCAAAGACTTTAGCCATCGTGCGGCAGAAGATGCTAGTAGCATTTTTGAGGCCAAATGGAAGATGGGTAAATTGGTAGCATTTGTCTTCCAGAATCAAACCAAGCCTGTTGCTCATCTCATCAGAAACCTCGATTTGAAGGAACCCTTGAAAGAGATCTAGACTGCTGTAGTAATGACAGTTACCTATTCTCTCTAGTATGGATTCTAAGGTAGGTAATGGGAAAGTTTCAGTTACGGTTACAGCATTTAGTTTCCTGTAGTCAACACATGGGCGTAGACTTCCGTCCTTTTTCTGAACCAGTACTATGTTGGCAACTCAGTTTGTTTTTGATTCCTTCAAGACCCCTGTGCGCACAGATTAATAATATAGGATTGTAGTTCTTCGCGGTACTTGAATGGTACGCGTGTAGGCTTACATGCGACAGGATACTCTGTGGTTGTGGTAGTATCA